GAAAAAAAAAAAAAAAAAAAAAAAAATCTGTTCTTATCATTTTTCCCAGGAAGGACATTTCGAACCACGAGGAGAAAGGAGCGATGGCCGGGAGGGCCGATGACGGACAGCCGATCCCAAGAGTCGGGCTGAGATTCACACTGCGCTTCCAGGCAGTTGGAGCAGACGAAGATGTCGTATCGAGGACGTGGTTCTGCAGGAAAGTCATCATGGAGCAGCTCCATCTGAAAGTTGATGTCATCTACTGCCTACAATGGAACCAGCAGGAGAAGGCTTTCGACGTCACCCTAAAGGACGAGCAAGTATACACAAAGGTTGCTAAGGACTGTGTTGCTGCTGCTATGGTAAAGCCGCTAGCCTGCTACAAGGTTTTAAATTTGGACAGACCAAATTTCAGGACAATCACGGTCCACATGTTTAATCCCTTTGTGACTGACAGAGCGCTGGCTGATTTTTTGAGGCTGTATGGGGAAGTGCTAACTGCAGCAAGACATGTCAAGGACACCATGGGGATCTGGACAGGTCGAAGGCAGTTCCAGGTGCTTCTTAAATCTGAGCCAGAGGGTTTTGGCGGCCTCAAGCACCCGCCTGCCTCCTTCAGCCTTGGAGCAGATCGAGGGTACCTTTTCTACCCGCGTCAGCCAGCTTTCTGCAGGCGGTGCAGGCAATCAGGCCACGTTGAGGGAGGGTGCGCTGGCGCCAGCTGCCGTTTTTGTGGCCAAAGAGGACATGAGGCCAAAGACTGTACAGTGCCCAAGGCCTGCCATGGCTGCAGTGGGATCGACCATCTATACAGAAGCTGTCCTGAGCGTAGGAGGACGTTTGCGGAGGTAGCCGGGGCCAACAACCGGAGGGAAACGGAGTTCGAGGACCTTCTGGAAGGGCTTATCCAGTGCCAGAAGAATATGTTTCCGGTGGGCACGGGGGAGGCCGCGGCGGTGGAGCGGGTACCGGGCGGCGGCTCGGGGTCTGACAGCGTGGGCCGAGGGCCTGCGGGGAATACGGACTCAACTGTAGCAGCCGATTTGGGGGTCAAGCCTGGGATACGTAAAATACAGGAGGCTTTCGGAACAGAGGCTCCAGAAGACAATGGGGACTGCTCGCAGGTCGGAGACAGTAAAAGGCCAAAGACAGAGGGGACGAGGAGGAAGGGGCGGGCCAAAGAGGTGGTGGCGGTGGTGGATGAAGGAGATGGGCAGCAGAAGAGGGAGGGGCCAGGGAAGGACAGTGACCAGGGGAGGGGTAAAGCGGACGATGGCCATGGTTTGGGTGGAGGGATGGTGGGGGAGGACCCAGGGGTTGTAGGGGTTGGGCTCCAGTCTGGTTTGCCACTGGACCGGGGGCTGCCGGCTGCTCCACTGCTGCAGCCACCTCCCTTGGGGGATGACACACAAGGGGGCGTGAGTCCCTCCACCTCTTCAAGTGTGGTTCCTGTGTTATGGGCCGACCAGATGGACAGTTTCAGTGAAGACCCCTATGCAGCGTGAAAATGGAGTGGGTAATTTTTCCTTTGTTAAGGCTTAACATTTCATCCTCATGACACGTTATTTTGATGTTCTCACTTTGAATGTGAGAGGAATGAGGAACACTGTTAAAAGAAGGACTGTTTTTGATTTTTTAGGCACTTTGCATGTTGCCATAGTTTTTTTGCAAGAGGTCCATCTGAGAGACATGGGGGATGTGGGGATGTTTTCAAGGGAGTGGACGAAAGGGGACTCAGTTTGGAGTGTAGGGGGGGTTCACTCTACGGGGGTTGGGATTTTGTTTTGTTTTAAGGAAATAAGGGTGGAGGATGTTTTTGTTATTGACCAGGGCAGGGCAATAGGGGCAGACATTGTTTGGGGAACAAGGAAGCTGCGGGTCATTGTGGTATATGGACCACAGTCACCGGCAGAGCGGACTAATCTGTTTTCATTAGTGGAGCCTTTCCTTGTTACCAATAGACAGGTAATTATAGGGGGTGATTTTAATGTTGAGCTGGGGAAGGGAGGGGATGCCAGCGACCAGTATATTTCACAACTCATGGTTAGATATGGGTTGGCAGATGGGGGTAAGGGGGTCAAGCCACACATAGACAGCCCCACGTGGCGTAACTCAAGAGGCGTGGCAAAACGTTTGGACTATTTGTTTTTTTTCCAGGTCTTTAAACCTGATCACAGGTAGGACCATCCCTGTTTTCTTTTCTGACCATGATGGCCTGCTGTTTCGAGTAGATGTGGATGCGCTAACTTTTGGGCCTGGTTACTGGCGCCTAAATGTCAGTGTTTTGGAGGAAAAGTTTTTCAACCAACAGTTCCCTTTGTTTTTTAAGGGAGTGTTGGGCCTCAAACCGCTGTGTCAGGGGATACTAGAGTGGTGGGAGGTAGCCAAGGACAGAATTAAGACCTTCTGCTTAGGTTATTGCAAAAGGAAGGCAAGACGGTCAAAGAGGGAGATGTCCCATCTGCAGCGACTCCTAGAGCGTGAGTACGCAAAGGGGAACTGTGGTTCTACTATAAATGAAAATGTATGCAACTCTTTGAAGGCAAGGCTCAGACATGTCTCTGAAGGCAAGGCCCGGGCTTTCCTGGCGAGATCACGTTCAGAGTTCATTGAGCAGTCAGAAACATGTTCTGCTGCTTTTTTCAGCTCGGTACGGGCTAAAAAAGCAAGGCAGGTGGTGACAGGGTTTAGGGACAGTCAGGGTATTGTAGTGACAGAAGAGGGCCAGGTGGTGAGGGTTGCCACGGATCATTTCAGGGACAGCTTTAAGGAGAAAGATGTGGGAAGAGGGGATGATTTCCTGGAACTGCTGGATCGCCAGGTTCCAGGGGACATAGTGCAGGCTTTAGAGGTCCCTCTAACAGTTAGCGAATTGGAGGGTGCGCTCAACAGAATGAACAAGGGTAAGGTGCCAGGAATTGATGGCTTACCTGTGGAATTCTATGCAAAGTTCTGGAGCATATTAGGGCCAGTATTGTTGGAGGTGCTGACAGAGGTACTGCAGGCAGGAGAAATGAGCGGGTCTTTAGCCACCGGGGTGATCTCCCTCCTGTATAAGAAGGGGGATCGCACTGAAATAGGTAACTGGCGACCTTTGACCATGCTGTGTGTGGACTATAAACTCTTGGCAAAAGTTCTCACTGATAGGCTAGGCGAAGCAATGCCCCATGTGGTTCATGTTGACCAGACATGTGCGGTGCCAGGGCGCTCAACGAGATGGAACCTGCAGCTCCTAAGGGATGCTGTAGCTTGGGCAGAAGACAGAAACCTGCCACTCATGCTGGTTGCTCTTGACCAGACCAAGGCTTTCGACAGGGTGCAGTGGAGTTTTATGTTCAGCATTCTGGAGAGGCTAGGTTTTGGTAAAGTCTTTATAAGGTGGTTGCGCACATTATACATGGACGTGGGGAGCAAGGTAGTAGTGAACGGATACCTAGGCGATTTTTTCCGGTTACAATCGGGTGTGAGGCAAGGGTGCCCTCTCTCACCACTGCTATATGTGCTCTATATGGAGCCTTTGGCGGCAGCCATTAGGGCAGACCCAGGGGTCAGAGGTTTTCTAGTGCCTGGCAGCAGAGGGTTACGGGTGAAACTGTCCCAGTATGCAGATGACACCACTTTGCTGCTGGACAGGGATGAATGCCTTATTCGTTCTCTGCAAATCATGGAGGACTTCGGCAGGGCATCCGGTTCTAAGCTTAACTGTGCAAAGTCCTCGGTGAAGTTTTTTGGGAAATGGAGAGAAAGGATAGATGCACCAGGGGGTCTTGCTTTCTGCCCAGGGCCTATAAAAGTTCTGGGGGTCAGTTTTGAGTCTACTAAAAGTGCTTCCCTGAGTTGGGCAAGACGGCTTGAGGCAGTAGAGAGGAAAGTGTCTCTCTGGAAGAGTAGGCAGCTGACCTTCATAGGGAAGGTATTAGTGCTGAAGGTAGATATATTGCCATCCCTCCTATATCTCGCATACATATATCCGTTGCCGGTCAGCATGAGGAGGCCTCTCATGCGCCTCGTGTTTGGATTCATATGGGGTGGGAGATACGAGTATGTGGCAAGAGGCCGCATGCTGGCTGGGGTCGAAGCAGGGGGGAGAGATGTACCACATTTAACTCTGAAGATGGACTGCATTTTTGTTTCGACTTTATGTAGGGAAGTATCAGGCCCAGTAGTACATCCTTCTGGTTATTTTATCCGCCTTTTCTTTTCTTATCAAGCAAGAGAGCTTATGGCCTGGAGCAATTTGGGGCCCAGAGCGGAACAGCAGCCATGGCACTACCGCCATGCAGCAAGGTGGCTTCGGGCTCACCCGGAGGCTGCCGGGCCAGAGGTGAAACTCAATCACAGAACCCTATACAAAGAAGCCAGAGAGAAAATCAATGTCGGTCCTGTCATTGGAATACCATCCAAAGTGTGGAGGAGGATCCAGCCGAAGGGACTAGACAATAGGCTAAAGGACCTTAACTGGCTGTGCCTGCTTAGGTGCCTGCCAGTGCGGGAAATCATGCACCGTCATGGATTGGCAAGGTCTCCGGTGTGCCCTAGGCCAGACTGTAAGGATGAAGAGACCATCAGACATGTCATGTGGGACTGTCCTTTCGCACGGGGAGCATGGAGAAGAGTGGAAGGGTGGTTAGGACAGAGTTTTCCTGGTCTTAAGATGACATGGGATGGGATCGAAAGGGGCTCGGGTCCTGGTGAATATTGGGCAATGTTCCCCATTTGGCTAGTGGTAAGCCTGCTGAAGAGAAATCTGTGGCTGGCTAGGCAGGATGTTGTAAAGAACAAATGCTGCAGCAGCATAAGGGGGATCATAGGAAAAGTAAGGGCAGATTTGAAGGGGAGAATGGAGAGGGACATTGTGAAATGGGGACAACACGCCGCTTTGGAAAGATGGAAGGGGGGTTTAGGGCTGGTGGGGTGAAGACCAGATATATATATAGTAAAAGTGATATATGTGTTTGTATTGAATGTCCTTTGTTTACTTGTTTGTAAACTGTGTATAACAATGATGTAAATTGAAG